AAAAATCTTGGAGCACAAGTAGAACACGTCAATCACTGGCAACTGAGAACTCCCTCTTAAATATATATTATTTTGTTAACCGACTCTTCCCTTTATCGAAGTCTTAGCCACCCCTGGTTGATCTCTGTCTAGCCGGCAAGTCGATGAAGGGAATCCGAACCACAAGTCGGACAGTAATAAGTGGCGCCCAATTGGAAATAGGGATTGCGTGTGAAATCGAGTACCCAAATTACAATAGTCGTGTTGACAGTTGACATTGACAGTCAGCTGCTTGGACCGCGGGGAGGATCCCAAAGCCTCACCTGTTCCTGCCACGGATGGAAGGTCAACCATAAGACAGCAAAGAGAGACGAGAAAAAGTCCAAAATTCGAAGAATCCAAAGTGGAAACCCGTAAACTGGTCCCAGAGTGGAGGCAATAAATTCAATGCTGTGCTGCCGTTTACGGCTCTGCCAAGGAAAATAAGAATAACAATTAGTTTTTTTTGAATATATTGCCAATAAGAAAACATTTTTTTAATTTACAGTTCATATCTGCCAGAACATAAGCTGTGGTCCGGGCAGGTGGCTTAAAAGATGCCACATGCAATCGTTGTCCAGCCTTTGTTTTATCTACAATTCTATGTCATAGCCAGGAGACAATCAGCTATAAATTTGGAGTTGTTCCAGGCCCAAGAGACATACCGCAAAACCATTGCCTCGGAATTCGCATCCTTACAGGCGCAGATGAAGGAAGACATGCTTCAATTCATGAAGCAGATAAGCGACAGCCTGGCGGAGATGCGAGCTGGCACTGGAATACGACAACGTGAGGGATTGGCAGCTCAAAGAATGCCACACGCACAGGAGCAAGGAAACAAGCCGGAATCCCGTCGTAGCAGCAACGATAGTCGACCGTCTGCACATCCGGTTAGGCCGATCGACCATCGATTGCTGGAAGCCGCTCAGAGGAGCCAAGCAAATCCTGTGAGCTGGACAGACGGCGTTCCTCACGAGTTCCGATACGCCGGAGGACAGGATTGTTTCATCCGAACTTCTGCCCATGAGCCGAAGACTGAAGTGGTGCATATTCGCAGATGGGGTCTGGTGTTCGATGGCGGGACAAGAAGTATGCCGGTATCGGAATTCATCTTTCGGCTGGAGCATATGCAACTGACTTACCAGGTTCCGTGGAGAGAAGTGTTGCGCGATTTCCACGCCCTAATGGAGGGTCAGGCGAAGGAGTGGTATTGGATGCTTCTTCGTACATCCGGGATTACCGATTGGCCAAATTTGAGGTACGCATTACAGCAACAGTTCCAGACCAGGCCTTCAAGTTTTGAGCTGGAGCACGAATTGCGCGAAAGGAAACAGAATCCAGGCGAGTCAATACGCCGTTTTCCGATCATGACCTAATAAAGGTTATAAAAATGAACATTAGGTGTCAAGTGTCAGGCGGAAAACAACCAGAGGAGCCTTACGCAAGCGGAGAAGTCGCTCTCCAAGCCGTCACTGCACGGAAACTAAATATCTCAAATAATGCGCTATTAGAGATACAAGATAGCGATAGAGAAAAATGTAATGTAAAATATAATATACTAAAAATGAACAATAATCAAAATAATTACGTTAGATGGTCAGAACGGAAGCCACTTGAAGTGAGAAAAGCAGAAAATGCAAAAACTCGAGCGCGTATTTTCGAAGCGGCCGCAGAGAACACACCCAGGGTAAAACGAGCGCGCTCTCGTTACAAACAGCACCAGGAGCGTAGAATGGTATGCGCTGCGGTTCAATCGGCAGTCAAAGGCGACGATCGGGCATTTGCAACGGTCAAGCTGGGACTGCGAGAGATCGCTGGAGCTGGGGTATGTCGACTCGGAGTTCACGACCAAAGGCGAACCGTAATAGCCCATGAACTGAATTAGGAGCAACAACATCTGCTGAAAGAGGCAAGAGAAGGTTTCTTGGATTACGAATCTCGAGGATTGGGGCATACCGACATAGAAACACACACCATTCAACTAGTGGATGACGCAGTGCCAGTCAAGGAGCGATTCTACCCAGTATCTCCAGCTGTACAACAGCCATTGTTTGCTGAAGTGGACGAAATGCTCAGACTGGGAGTCATCGAGGCGAGTGAGAGTCCGTGGAACAATCGAATGTCGCTCGTCAGGAAGCCTGGGAAGAATAGACTGTGTCTGGATGCGCGCAAGTTGAATAATCTGACCATTAAAGATGCTTACCGGTTGCAGAACATAAAGTCCATATTAAGCAGAGTTGACGACACCATTTTTATAAGCATCGTGGATTTGAAGCATGCATTTTGGCAGATAGAGCTTGACCCCAAAAGCCGTGAATTCACAGCATTCACCATACCCGGCAGACCTCTCTATCAATTCAGAATGATGCCATTTGGAATATGCAACGCAGCTCAGAGATTGTGCCGATTGATGGACAAGGTGATTCCTCTGTAAAGTCA